GGGCAACACCCTAGAACAGGCAACATTCCCCAACCGCTATAGGTACCTCTACATTCCAGCTGGCCATTCGGTCAATTACTGATAATGCATTGCTGACAATTTTCAGCGCATCGATGAAATTTCTCAGCAGCGATAAATACTGCAACAAATGCCCTTAAAAGCCATTCAGCCTCCATGCACCCAAACATTACAAATAAAAATACGCTCGTAAGAACAGTCTTACAAGGCAATTAGAAATAAGACGGAACATAATATTAATTCAAACCGTTTTCAGTCCACTACGTTCTCGACACAACGATAATATGAATTTGGTTAGCACCTGTCCAATTTCCCAAACGTCCGAATCACATAATGGTGGTTCAAGCTTACTGAAAACGTATCAAAAGAATTTACGATTAGTTGACAGGTTAAGCGAATTTCGGTGGGAGTTGAACCCATGAAATGGCACTCTTACGAAATCCGACGACGACAAAGATAGTGGTGATTGGTAGCGCATTTTTAAAAAATTTAACGACAACTGATAAAATTGCATAAACAAATAACGACAAGAGTACGGATTTAGGTGGGTAATTTTGCTGGTCTCATTATTGGTCACAAATGAAAAAAGAATCGAATACCACGAACACAAGCGCTGCAACAGCTTTGCATCCAAGTAACCGAATTGAACTCGACAACATTTCCGGCGATTCTGATTGAATGTAATCCTGAAAATATTGCACATATTCTCAATAATCATTCAATCTAGCTGACATTTGCAGCTATAATGTTGCTTTTGCTGAAACTTGGAACAATGCGAAAGGTTTATGAAATTTTGTAGTGTCATAACATCAATGAGAAACCTTAATGTAGCCAAGTAATTCATTCCTTGCTTCGAGTCGATATTCACTATTCAAATGTGTTGGATTGACCGTTGTCGATATCAGATAAATTGTCTCCAACAGTGCTTCTCGAACGACCGTTTCTTGCTATAACACATATACTCCCATTTCAAACTTATAATCTCTTACTCTAAAGAAATAAGCACACATGTTGAAATGATGATGCACCACTCTATAAAAGTGCATGAAACAAGACAAAAAACACAAATTNCAATCGAAATACCCGAGGATTCTCCATGTAACGTCGCAAAAACACTAAGACTGTTTGTTCAAGACGTTGGATAACCACATCAGTTGGGCAGTAGAATATCACATAACCTTAAATATCAAAACACCACATCAAAACTCACAACCATTTGTTTTGATAAGCACAACACTGAGAACTGAATCTAACTACTGACTCAAAGTTCACAAATAAAACAAACAAACCACATTCATTTTAGTTTTACTATCGAAATTTCATTCTAAAATGATACATTCCAATATCAGGAGAGAAGTTAAAAGCATGAACATCCACTGCTCGCTTGAGCGCAATTTTGTTTTGGTTATGGAATGCGATAAATAAATAAATAACTGAAAAGGAAGGAATCATCACCATAAGTGAGCATAATCGTTGCTCGAAGATTAACCATTTCGATATCCGTGTAGTGCTTATACGGCATCGCATCCTGCAATGATTCAAAAAACATTTAAAAAATTCATCGGTTAGCTTCCTCAATCTAAACGTTAGATAAATAAACGTTTAGCTTACGCAATAAACGTTAGATAAATAATTTCCATTCCACCATCTTCATCGAATCTCATTTTTACCAAACAAAAGTCAAACTGCTTTAAAATCAATCCTCGTCTGCTCGACAAATGCAATAAAACTAAAATAAAACAAATGAATAATCACCTTAATAAACCCAAAAAGACCAGGAGTTTTCTTCAGAAATTCCCACTTAGCGATATTCTCGAGTTCAGTCAGCACTAAATCCGTATGTTGTGCCGCACAATAGCCAACCGCTTGAGCGCACCCAATGCGCTCGGTTTGTTGTGAATGCAACGCACCACGAAACATCAACGACAGATGATCAACAACGAAGCTTGTGTTCGTGATCAACGATAACACTCCACCCAGACAACGCATCAGAAATGCCTTCAAATAATCAACTTACAATACGCCAACAACACACCATACTTCCAATAATCTAAGCAACTGTTTAGAAATTTTCAAAGATTACCAGTACAATATGCACTACTGCAATCAGATTTTGCGATCTGCAGCTCTCAGCGTTCTGATGAATATATAACATCAGGACAGAAGTCAAAAAGTATGAATATCCATTGCTCGCTTGAGCGCGATTTTATTTTGGTTATGGAGTGCTGCGATAAATAAATAATTGAAAAGGAATCACCGTAAGTGAGATAAATATATAAACATATGGGAAGCCAGATTCAGTTTTGGGGTGATCCGAGTCTCGTGTAGCCCCTCTTTTACTAACAAGTCAACCAATACGAGTTCGTAAGAGTATGCAAAAGAAACCTTTTCATCCGATAGATTCGTGTATAAACTAAGTTGTTTGGCCATAGCGGCGGCCAGTGCGCACCGCCACTCGCCATCGTTGACGTTCTTAACGCATTCGTCCAACAAATCCAGCACATGAGCATGCCATTTGGCCACTCTTGATGAGCGCAACTCTATCACTTGGTTCTCTTCCCGCATCACACCTGAGCCCGTACACGAACCGGGTGGTGATAATTCTAAAAGCAATACAACTCATTCGACGATATCACCGCATAAATTTCCGCGATTTGAGAGTCACGTTCAGCTCATCAACTGATTTAGAGAATGCCTAACATACATGCTGCACCAAATGAGGTTCTGAATCAAAGCACCAAAGTCAAACGATGAACAACACTGTAATACAACACGACGAATGAGAAGTAAACCAGAGCAATATCAAACCATCTATAATGGAGTCGATATGATCATATTTTTCATTCAGAACCGATTCCACAGATGGATGAAACCATGACGATAGCGCTCTCATTAATCTGAACGCTTCTCGTGCACGCTTCGTCAATGCCACACTCATCGGTGCACCACTCATAAATGCCAGCAGTCTCGCAAATACCTGATAGCTACCAGCCACCCGTACTTAAACAAACACTATGATTAGCTTCTAGAAAAAATACTTCGACGAACAATCAGTGATAAACTCTACAGATATCAGTCTTTTGTGTGACAATATACTCTCTACTTACCGTTATCGAAACCCGTTTCGAAGTCCATACTCTTTCCTTCTTTTATTGTTCGCTCGGCCAGTATTCGAATACATTTGCAAATATCTGTTAACGCTGGTGTATACGATTCCATACATATGTATTCGAATAGAAATGGCCATAGAAGCTGAAATAAAATCAACGAATATCACAACTGAGTTATGGTTCATTTGAAGTTTCGGATTTCCTTTCGCCTCAATCGAAACAAATTGCGATTTTGACGATATTCTCAGAGTATAGAGGTGCGTGATTCGAGAATTGTTTCAATTAACCAGTTACAAATCAAAACCTTATGCGCAGATTCACACGTGTTCGCGATGGTCTGCAGAGCTTGACCACACTGTGTTCTTAACTGCGCTGGTGTTGGAGTGTCAGCTGAATCCATGCTATAGGCTGATGTCTTTTTCGCCTAAATTATTTGAAATTGATTCATATTTATTGTTTTTGTATCGAAGTGTTCGTATCAACAAAATGCACAACAACGGAATCAACGGGATTCTGAATGCATACAAAAGGAATTTTACAGTTTCTGCCCTCTTTCTCCAATATAGCATTTTGATCGCTCACATTAAACGACGAACTGAAGTCTANTTGAGATGGAATTTCATTCCCCCACATCCTTGTAGTGGTGATGACATACAATCTGCAATGCAATCGGCCTGCACCCATTCCCCAATCCAGTGACAGCGATATTTCCCGAAGAGCTCACAAACGATGAAACTATTCGCAAAGTTTAATGATAACAGAAAACTATTATTGATGATAAATTTAAGAAGTGACCAACCAGCCGAATTCAGTAAATGTCTCATAACATTGATAGCGCCGAGTTTGCACGAATCTTGAACATTCTGCATTTTATGTAAAAGATAGTAAACGATCTTGTCGGCAAATCGAACAGCTGAAATTCCACAAATCATTTAGATTTCTTGCAGAACAATCTTTACCGATTATGAAAATAATGAAGATGAATATAATATGATAGAAACTGAAACAAAATCTAACTTTCCAATAATCTCAGATACAACAAAAAACGAAAAAACAAACCAGCCACATGAAAGCAACGAAATGCTTCACTCTGATTTCGGATAGCAATATTCGATGAAAGATTCGAATCAGTGAACAGACACACGTGCGGAAAAAGTGCATTCAGAATATCCTCCAGATACGATTCTAATGGTGATGTTTCGTCCTCACAAGTGGCTTCCAAAAATCGACAAATACCCTAAAACAGTGTGATCAACCAATCAACAACCAATCAATTAATAAATCAATCATCGATCAAACACAAGCAAAAACCTGCAGAATATCAGCAAAACAACTTCACAATATTACCTATGCCTACAAAGAAGTTTTATAACACAGTATCGTTAACTTGGGATTTAAACCTGATCTAGAAATGAAGTATACAACTGCGCTTAAAAATCCCTCGATTAAATCGTCACGAATAATCTGCTAAAAACAAGACTGGCTCAATAATCTTGAAAAACGTTAGATCCCTAAAAATAGAGAATTAATCACGACGGATCGAATATGACTGGTACCTGAGTGATTAAATGTTGATCAGTTGTGGCTCTTCTGTATAAGCCCAACAACGCTGGCACAATTTTTCTCAAATCGTCATTGACACGTTTCAACGAGATCATCAAACACAGTTCACCAATACAATTGGCTGCTTCAGCACGAACCTGAACGACGTCAAAACGTATTACAACAAAAAATAATTGAATCCATTTCAAAATCCAGAATTCCGGTAACAGAGCAAATCCATAAAAAATTATCAAACATGAATGCCAGAAACTTCATTAGAGCATTTATCAACAATCACGAGATCACGCGAATCTACGAAAATAAACGTAAAACATTTGCAAGTGGGAACAATAAAATGGTTTTCTTCTTAGGAATTGTTCTTTCATCTGCAAAATATCCATAAAGTTGGCTAATAAATAAAGATGTTCAAATTTCTTTTTCACATAAAATTAACTCCATTCGAATGGTACAATTCTGAAGTTTACAGCAACGTTGCATCTATTCGTACAGCACAAAGTACGTTTAAGACATTATGGATCACGCATTTTTTTGATGAATTGTACTTTACACGACCACCTTTGCACACATGATATGTCACAGCACTGCTATCCATCACCGCCACTGCTAATTCTGTCTGCTACCAAATTCAATCCCCCGAAAATTGAACAACTAGTGATAATGAGCACGATCATGGAATGCAAAAAATGTTCGCAAAGGAAAGTTTTGCTCTAAACCGAGTGGTGTGCCAATATCATAAATGTTGTGAGCCTGAGCCAGGCTATGATCGGGCTTGTATTTATTATCTAATTGTCGGCAAAAATGGAGAAAAAAAAACAGAAACCTTCTGATCCTTAGAAGCCAGCCATGAGAAGACAACATCATAAGCCAACTCCATTTGATCCGCGTAATTTTGTTGAACAATCTGCGGATCAATTTTGGAATCACCCATTGCTGATTTTGTTGGCGTCGATAAGAGTTTTGTAACTGTATCATCGGTAGTGCTGTTGTTATCGGCACAAGATTCGCCGCCGATCGTTGTCTCATGACCATTTATATATTGCTTAGTTTCCGTGAAGTGTTGATTTGACGATTCAATTGAAGCAGCCGCAGTTGTATATTCACGAACAGATTCGCAGAAAGAGCGTAAAGCATGCGACCACGCATGACGTTGACTATCACCGCGAACGTATTGCAGCAATGGAATGGTACGTGATAGAACGTCGGTTAGAAATGGTACAAAGCCAACAGCTGAAAGAATTCATAATACACAAATAAGCCAACTGGATTCATATGGCCAAAAATGGCTAAGCAAACGATCAATTCAAGAGTTGCAAAACGGACAACCATTCGCAACCCCTCAATATACTGCCGATTAGGGAGTTAAGAAGTGACAAAACGGTGACGATACAGTGATAAAACACAAACAGGCATTGGTCTGTTTTTAATAAATTGTGATTGTTGCTAAAACAATGATTGATCGTAACCATTATGTTCAGCGACGGACGCTAGTGCAAGCACAACAAATCGATGCGGTGGAGTGGTCAATGCGGGTGGAAATTTCTGTAAAAGTGCATCCATGACGTGACCAACCAAAGCATGTTTCTTCGCTAGTGTCACCAACAAATCGCATGCTGACTGAGGCCATTCCTCTTCATTCTCCTAAACCAATACCAAACGTGATCACTTTNTGTGCTCATACACTTAAGAGTATCACTTGAATTTTGACGAAATACGATTGAAAATCTAGAAACGCATGAATAATCTTACTTTCGACAGTGTCATTTCTTGCGTCGCAAGATTAATAATCAAGAGAGCTTGTTGTTCATCAACTAGATCCAGTACTGATCTATTTTCCAAAACTTGGTTGATTGATGACAGTACGAATGCTCGATTTACACCATTCAACTGAAAGGATATTGAATCAGTGGAGACTTGTTAACATTACAATGGAGGCTTCTTGTGTTGAGTTGAACTAATTTATGACTCAACTTTTCAATGACATAACGCCTATAGAAATACGATTGTTTGAGAGCTAAAAAAGAAACATGAGTAGAGCATGTTGAAGGAATTAAAAACGTGAAGTATCAAAGAATGCTGCACGGCAATATGAAAGGTGAGTTATAACCTTATTATGCTGCATGAGGAATGCGTGTGCTGCACAAAGAAAAATAGATGGTTGTGAGGTGCCAACGGCCACTAATGAGCCATTCACGTCTGCACGTGCACCGTCCACATTCGGCAATGTGGTGGCGCAGTCGAACATCGCTATTATTAAGCCTACAAACAGGTGCTTTACTTTGTTCTGCTCCACTTCTCGTTGATCATCAGAAAGCACAATCGAAAACTAAAAAGTAAAATCGCAAAAGAATGAAACGTTTACGTTACCTTCTAAAGTGTGAACCATTTTGAATCGGTTTATTTACTCATTCGCTCATTAAATTCAACTATCCAAATATCTGAAAAAATCATTCCAATTAAGGAGGACAACCACTCGATATAAATATATACCAACCACAACATAGTGAATCATTTAGCCACAGCTTAATTTCATTAGTAAACGTGTGCAACATAGGAATGAAGATATTCGATTACTGTTCGTGGAAAAGTCATTAATTAACGACCAACAATGGTAATCAATGATCTCATGAATATAAATGTATATGTTGAAAAGATGAAATGAAAGAAAACGGTCGCCAGTGGACGAATACGGAAAACAAACAATCCATCTAAATCAATACCAAACATGGAAAGATAAGAATGGATAAAACAAAATATATGACGGACGACAGAGAATATTATTTCAGCTGATCCATTTGTTTGTGCTAGTGTACTTATGACGATCATATCGCCTCGTCGCAATTCGCCATAAAGATGAGTCTCAGCGTAAGGGCGGAGTCATCCAAGAACATGCACAATCAAGGTGCGACGACTGATCGTGAGTGCTTGACTAATCAACATTTATACCAATGCTATCTTAGGAAAGGACCGTTTTTAGGGATGATACACAGAATAAAATTTTGTAGGAAGTAAAATTCACTATTATACGTACTATTTTGTTTAAAAAACGTCTGCTATAAAAAAATTGAGCCGTCTCAAGATAAAAAAACTT